TCGCGCTTGAGCCTGAATGAAGGCTGCTTTGGTTTCACTGAGAAGTGCAGATAACGAAGAAGTCAAGCAATCGACGCAGTATCTGTCTTTGCTTGAACGCTCTGAGTGTTTATCATTTCTTCTTGTGACTCTTGGATGTACCTCTTTAAGAGAATCTCGAAGTTCTACACTGCCATAGAAACCGCCGAGTTGGCTGTCAATTTGATCAACAAGGACCTGAATAAGTTTTTTTTCCATTTATTCAAGAGTGTGGGAATGTCCTCACATCTTCTGGTGTTTCTGTGATTGGCTTCACTTGCCCAAAGCGCTTACTTTGTGATACACTGTCTTCTAGTTTAGCGGCCTTAAAAGGAAAGTTTCTGTTATTGCATAGAGGTGTTGACCGCGTTGCTGGGCATCAATTATTAGATATGCACTAAATGCACAACGGAAGTCAGCAATGCGTTGCTGATGAATACTGATAGACGTTTTCATGAAAGAAAGTTCACCAGTGCAGGACATGCAGGTGAGCCAGTGGATCCTGTCAAACGCACGATATTGTTGAGTATCTGTAAGAATCTGTATTCTGTGGATGGGTTACAAATCTCGAATTGCAATCTTAATCTTAATTTCCTGATATATATATATATATATAATTTCCGAGAAATACCATTTCCTGCGAGCGCACGATGGCACGCTAGCTGATTGCACTACTCCCTCTCATTAGTACCAGTGAGAATGTTTTGATGTGCAAGCAAGGGAAAATAATAAAAAAGTTTGAGGAAGCGCTCAATTTAAATTCGATTTGCGACCTGCAATTTTCCTCCCGTTCGGTCATGCGCTGTGCGTGTATGTTGGGGTATGTGTCTTACCGGAAATTACATAACTCCTGTTCCCGTGGACCTAAAACGTTCATATTCAATAGGAGCACAGGCGGCAAATGAAAACACTCTTTGCAGGTGGCAGGACCGGGACTCCGCCTACAGGAGGCGGGGCGTGAGTAAAATAGATGTTTGGTAGCAAATTCATAATTCCTGTTTTCGTGGACCTTAATGCGTTCAAATTAAGGGAGTTCAGGCGGCAGTATGCAACACTGATTACAGGTGGTAGAAAAGTAATACGAAGAATATGACTCGGAAGGAGTTGATAAAGAGCCTCAGAAGGCAAAAGCCGCCATTCCATCATATTCTTCGTGTTAATGGTGAAGCTTTGGCACTTAAGAAGGTTGGGTGGATAAAGAAGGGACCGGTGTTTAAAGATAGGGCTTGATAACAAGTTTTGCGTGTGGTATGAGATGTGAAAGGGCCAAGGCAAATGGTGAAAAGGACTGATAACAAACGACAAGGGCTGACAAAGGGCCGTAGAAGGCTAGAGCCACCACGAATGTTATCCCAATTGCGCAAA